TAACAACCACATCTGGATCAGTGTTTCCCCTAAATTCTGTTGCTCTAAATTTTTAACACTGTGTAAGAAGTGTGTATTTCACGTATTTTTCTACTCTTTTCCTTCAAATTCTAAATATCTTTTTCTTCCACGAATAAGGGGCAACCATCGATGTCCTAGTCCAATGAACTGTCAGAAAGGGTGATAGTTTAAACCCATCCCAGATGTAGCTGGGAAGGCAAGCCTGACAACGAGCTTCCAAGGAGCCCCAGACCCTCTGACAAGAGTCAACTAAAGCAATGATGCATCTCGCCCTGAGGCTATGACGGCAGGTCCTGGCATGTTGCTTTGGGGGTTCCCCCCCCCCTTTGTTACTGTCAGGTGCTTTGTGCTCTGTTACCAAAACAGACCTAAGTTGTCAACACTAAACTGCTCCATACTAGTGGCCAGTGGGCTGGACCATATGGTCAGTGTTTGCTCCTCTGGTTATATACCATCTCAGATTTTGTAACATTTACCAAGTAAATATGAAAGAAATCTATAATCTGCTACAGCAGTGAACTCGGGTCAGATCATGTTTTCTACCCCTGTAAGCTAAACTGCAGGCTATATTCACTGAAAAACCTACAATTCCAAGACTAAATTTTACATCCGTGTTCCACTTTTCAAATCCATGTAGTATCTTGAATTGAAATAGACAAATTGTCATTTAATTCATGCCATGGTCACTGCTAATTTTCAGTCAGCAGTTACATCACAAAATCAGTGTGGCCCTCAGAACTGCCTGGCAATGGGAGACCACATCCTCAAAGCAAAGCCAAGCAACAACAGGTGCTGTCCAGCTGGCTCCACTAACAGGGTGCCCACCAAACAACGTGTTCTTTCAGAAACAGTCAGGACTTTCTCCAAGGTGCTTCAGAGGGATTCAAACCGCAGACCTTTCCATTAGTAGCCAAGCAATCAATCACCATGCGCACAATCAGGGGCTCCCACCAACTGCTGTCAAGTCAGTTCCAAGCCAGGGTGGCCCAGTTGTTTCAGGACGTATCTGCCTTCAGCGGGCTTTTCCAGGGCTGACATCTTCCACAAGTAGATCGTCAGGCCTCTTTACCTGAGACGCCTCCAGGTAGACTTAAACAACCATCCTTCTATAGTCAGCAGTCCAGTGCATAACCATCTGGGCCACTTTCTTCACAACATACACTAATATGGTCGTCAACCTACGTACAGCTGACCTTCATGTGACTTAGAGGAGGACAATGCCCATCTTTCTCTCAAGGAGCTCTTGACGGATTCGAGTCACCCAGAGTATACCAGTTTTGGGTGAGCCAAGCAGCTCTCTCCAAACTAGGCCGTGAGAGCTCCCTATTAAGTCAGACAAAGCAAGTATGTTGTTGTTGTTGTTAGGTGCCATTAAGTATGACTCACAGTGACTCTATGAAGAAAAGATCTGAACCCAGTTCTGGTCCTCAGGCTTTCTGACACACAAGAGCCCACAGCAGCAGTCACCCTTGTCAATCCACCTGGTTGAGGACTGTCCTCTCCTTCGCTGACCCTCCACCCTTCCCAACATCATGTCCCTCTCCAAGGAATAGCACCTCCTAGCAACATGTCCAAATTATGTGAGGCAATGCATAGCTATTAACTGGAAAGACCACGGCCTGAATGAGATGCGCCTTAGTCCTCAAACTGACATCACCACTCCTCAATAATTTGCGAAGTTCCCTAACTGCAGATTTTCCCAGTGCAATGCATCTCCGTATTTCCTGACTGTTCATACCAAGGGTGTTAATTGTGGATCCAAGCAAGATGAAGCTGTTGACAGATCCATCATGACACTGTCTATTGGTCCATTGGTAAGAATCTTTTGTTTTCTTGATATTGAGACACAATCCATGTTGAAGGCTGCATTCCTTGATCTTCTGCAACAAGTGCTTCAAGTCCTCCTCCACTTTGAGTAACTAAAGTTGTGTCATCTGCATAATGCAAGTTATTTATGAGTCTCCCTCCAATCCTGATGCCACATAATTGGTGACTGGAATACAAAAGTAGGAAAGAATGAATGAACAATAGTTGGAAAATATGGGCTTAGTGATAGAAATGAGGGTGGAAACAATGACTGAATTTTGTATATACAATGATTTATTCATTGCAAATACCTTTTCTAAAAGACACAAAAGACAACTTTAGACGTGGATTTCATCAGATGGGCTACATCAGAATCAGAATAACTACATTTGTGGAAGAAATGGTTGGAGAAGCTCAATATCAGTAGTCAAAACTAGGCCGGGGCAGACTGTGGGTCAGATCATCAATTACTCATGTTGTCGTCAAGTCGTAGACCCATAGCGACCCTATGAACTAAAGTCTTAAAACACAAAACTTTCATCTTTTCTTCAAGTTCATAGAGTTTCCGGAGGCAAGCTTTTTTGGAAGTGGATGTCATTTCTGCTTCCCAGCCTGTTTTATTAGGAAGCTCCACAAAAACCAGGACTGAGGGCCCAAATGCTTTTTTAAATATAAGGCCAAATCTAATCAGCTCACACCTAGGTGTGAGTCAACAGCCACACTCAAGTCTCAACCTCAAACCAGAAAACACATCTTCCATCAAAATTTCATGATCATCTTTTGAGGCACTGAACACCAATGACAGAAGTCCAGAGGAGCTGTGGGATATTATCAAGGATATCATCCATGAAAAAAGCAAAAGGTCATTACAAAAACAGAAGAAAAAACCAAAATGGATGTCAGAAGAGATTCTAAAGATTGCACTGGAACACTGGGAAGGCAAATCCAAAGGAGTACATGTCAAAGTAAAAGAGCTGAACAGTCAGTTTCAAAGGGCAATTCAGGAGGACAAAGCAAAGTATTGTAATAGAACGTGCAGAGAGCTGGAACTGAAAAATAAAAAGGGACGAACTCTTTAAAACTTAAAGAACTGAAAAACAAATATAAACCTCATGTCGCAATGCTGAAAGGTTGCTATGGGCAAGATACTGAATGACCCAGAAAGCATCAAAAGAAGATGAAGGAAATGCACACAGTCACTGTGCCAGAAAAAAATTTAATTCATGAACAGGAGCCAATGGTAATGAAAGAGGTGGAAACTGCATTGAAGGAACAGGCAAAAAATAAGGCCCCAGAAATCAATAGGATATCAATTGACTTGTTTCAATTAATAGATGCAGCCTTAGATGTCTCATCAGTCTATGCCAGGAAATGTGGAGGACTGCTGTCTGGCCAACAGACTGAAGAGGTCCATATTTATTCCTATTTCCAAGAAGGGTGATCCAAATGAATGTGGAAATAATCAAACAATATCAGTGATATCACATGCATGCAAAATGTTGCTGAAGATCAGTCAAAAACAGCTGAAGCAGTACATAGATAGGGAACTGTCAGAAGTTCAAGCAGGATTTAGAAGAGGCCGTGGCACCAGGGATATCATTGCTGATGTCAGACTGATCCTGGCTCAAAGTAAAACCAAAAGAATGTCTATATGTGCTTCATTGACGATGCAAAGGCATTTTGACTGTGTGGATCATGACAAGTTGTGGCTGACAAAGAGAAGAATGGGAATCCCAGAGCATGTGATTGTGCTCATGAGGAATCTATAGCTGTAGCAAGAGGCTGTTGTGCAAACAGAGCAGGGGAGCACTGCATGGTTTGGAATTGGGAAAGGAGGGCATCAGGGATATATTCTATCTCCATACCTGTTCAATTTATATGCTGAGTAAATTATCCGAGAAGGTGGACTCCATTAGGATTGGAGGGAGACAAAGCAAGCATGACAACTACTCATTCCAGCACAAACTGTTGTTTCACTAGTTGCTCCAATAAACATCATCTTCATCAGCTGTTATGTGCCATCAAGTCAGAACCAACTCAGAGGTGACCCTTCAGTGGGTTTTCAGAGGCTGAAAATCACATGAGAGGAGACTGTCCATCTTTCTCTAGTGGAGGAAATGGTGGATATAAGCTACTTGCCTTTGGACTGGCAAAGCAAGGACACTTCCACAAATTTTGTGTAGACCCTGACGTTAGAACCCATAATGTTCACTGTGGCTAGGCTCTGTTCGGTCTGAGGCAGGAATGCCTTCAAGTTTTGATGGTTTCAAGCAAAGAATTTCTACTGTTAGGAGCTGGATAGGACCTTGAACAAGTAAAGTTTCTCCACATTGTTTTCACCACTAAAGGGTTTTAAGCAAATCTGGATCATAAACAAAATATCTATAAACATTCTCTGGAGATACTCTCTTTACTTTTCCCTCCCCAGCCCTAAATCATCAGTTTTCCCAAAGACACAAAAACTTTTTTAGAAGCCTTGCCTACTTCAACCATTTTACAAAAACTATTATACAGGCTCAGAATTCCAAATTCACACCCTGGTTATTCACCCTAATCTTAAAATATGCTGATGCCTACAATACCATTGCAATGAAGTAGGGGGAGAAGATTATATGCAAATTGTTGCATTTTTATTTACTTCAAATAACCATCACATCCCTGCATATTATTAATTACAAAGAAGTCACCCTTGTTCCAGCTAGTTCAAGAGATTAACATGCATAAAAATAAATCACTACCTCCTCAAACAAGGACAGGAAAGAAGCACACGCAAAAGTTCCCTGGACCTCCACTAGATATTGCTCTCAGCAGCTCACGTGGCAGGGCAGAAAACCCAGGATAAGAGATGCTTTGAACGTTCACTAAGTTATGAGCAGAAGCATTAATCATTATCCTATTTTAAATGCAAGAGAGCTCTGGTGGCTTAGTGGTAAGGAGGTACTCCGCCAAGCCAAAGGCAGGTGGTTCAAATTTACCAGGTGCTCCCAGGGAGAACGCACAATCTTCTTGTACAATTTACCTCTGAAATCTCACTGCAAAGTCAGCAACAAGTCCATTCCAACTCAACAGCCAAAACAACAAATTCAAGTGCATTTATTTTACGTTATTATTAAACAGTAAGATAAATATTTTTTAAACTCATTGCACCTTCTTTCTAACAAAAGGAAGCACTATAACACAGAGTAATATGGGCATGTCAGAAGGGCAAATAAAAGGGGGAGGAAAAAACCCCAAAACCAACAGTCTTCCTTAGGAGTTCTTCCAGGCCATCACCCCAGACCACTGTGCATTTCAGGAAAGCAAAACTTCTCTCTTCCCTTTCTTTCACCTTAGACATCTCTCATCTTCTATTACTTTCTAGAATCATCTTCATCAATATTAATCTTTTATTCCAGTATTATTTTACTGCAAACTCCTATAATTGCATGAGCACACCCAACAGAGCTGTGAGATTTGTGATGCATTCCATTTTGCTTGTCCTCCATTCCAGGAACCGCTGATCTCCTCCTGGGAAACCACTCCTTTCATTTTTATGACACACTCAATTCTCCCCCCACATGGCTGGCCGCCTACCAGGTAAACAATCTCACTATGTGTCCACATGAACTGTTACAGCACTCTATTTCCTGCTCTATCAGTTGTTTTCATCTGCCTTTAATGCAAACATCCTGCCAATTGTTGATGACAAAAGCACCCTTAAAATCCATACTTCCTGGTAAACAAGGAAAACAGAAACATTTATCATCCTTGACACAGACCTTTACTGTTAAAATCCCAGAAGGAATCAGACATGCTCCCTTCAGGAGATGAGGGTGGGGCATAACAGGAAGTACTTTAGAACATTCTCCCCTCTGACCATACAGTATGTAAAATATCAACATCAGACACACTCACCTTTCCTTCTCCTTTCCAAAATGTTCTATATACAGTCATTCCATCTTAAGTAATTCCAGCTCAGACTCATGGTCACCATGTTCCTGCCCTTCCTTTTCATTACTCACCAGGCAGTCCACCAAACACACCACACCAAGGACAGCTTCTTAAAAGGCACCTGCCTGCTGGTGATGGGTTCATGGGTTCAAGACTGGCCGAGTGCCAACTCAGAAACAACCAGATAGAGGAGGACAGAGTGAGCTGACCTGGTTTCCCTCCTCTCACAAGGCATATCACTTTTTTTTTAATTATTAATTTTAATGAAAGTTTACAGAGACTTTAGATTTTCATCCATTCATTGTTGCACTTTTCTCCCTGCCCACCCCTCCCCCCCCCCCACCAATTCGCTCCCCTCCCAATCCCCCTCCCCAAGCCCACTGCACTATGCAGCCTTCATTTTGAACTCCTATCATGAAAATGATACCTAATCATATATCCCTTTTAAACAATTCTCTCCCTCATCTGTGTCAATGCAGTATACATTAAATTTCCCCTCTTTCTCAGTCTCGCCTCAACTCCGACATGGGTCCCATTTTACAACAGTGGCAATATGCAATATTTGTCCTTTGGTGACTGAGGTATTTCACTCAGTATACTGTCCTCCAGGGTCACCGTTATGTGTAACATTCCTTGAGTTCTTTGTTTTTCAAAGGCATATATATCACTCTTAACTGGAACCTCTAGGCGTTTACTTTAGATCTCATTACACCTTCTGTCTCCTCTGAATGATAAATTAGGAATTTGAAAATTAACACATTTATAGCAATAAAAAGCAGTTTCAAAACAATGATTTTGGAACAATGCAAAAAATGGCTTATTCCTTTTCACACGCCAAGCTAGCTGTTCAAGACTTGATTCTAATCAATTTAAATACTCAGTTACTAAGGGAGCTCTGGTGACCTAGTGGCAAGAAGCTGCACTGCAATCCCGGAGGTATGTGGCTTGAATCCACCAGATGCTCTGCTGGAGAAGGAGGGACAGTCTCCTCCTGTACCAGTTAGATCAGATTTGACAGTACACACATAAAACAACAACAACAATAAAATAAAAAATATGTATCTCTTCAGCCACAACCCATGAAGTCACTCAGTGGGAGGTGCATGTGATATTTAATTCTTAGAGCGCAAATAAATGCATCCTGTGGGTCAGTTCCTGGGGAAAACAAATAAAATACAAAATTCAAGAGTGAAACAAAAATACATTGGCTTATATAAAATATTCCAACTTTTAATAAGAGGAATCCAAATTGGAAAAGAGGAGGTAAAATTATCTCTCGAAGCAGATGATATGATAGTATACTTAGAAAATCCTAAAGACTCAGCAAGAAAACTATTGGACATGGTTGACCAATTCAGCAAAGTAGCAGGATACAAGATCAACATACAAAAATCAGTTGGATTTCTCTACAGTGACAAAGAGAATGCAGAGCTGGAGCTAT